TTAAAGACAAGAAGCACTTTTGGGAAGAAGAATGGAGTAAAACTGTGTCCAGATGTGCAAAACTGATTGAGAGACTTAATGCTGTAACTGTGGCCAAAGATCTACTAAACATTGACTTGAAGGAGGTGAATATTTATGCAATCACTTATTTTACATTGTATATTTTTAATTGATTTATCTTATTGTGTTTAAAAAACAGTTTCCACTTTGGCACAAAAGTGTTTTTGTCTTTTTTTCTTTTTCCCAGGAGCTGCTGAAGGCATGAGCAGGGATTTGTAGACATCTCCACCTACTGGTGAGTAAACACAACCTGTTCTAAACAATCCAATCTCTTGTTGCGTCATATGACCAACAGCAATGCTTAAGTTATTTTATCTTATCATGGCTCCATTAAGTACAAACAAATCAGCATGTAACAGCAGCAAACTGCTAAAAATGACACTTTGAGTTTATTCAGATTCTGATCCGTTTCATAAAGGTCCAGTTAGGGGTTTTTTGTACTGTATTACCAGAATTTGTGTGCAAACTCTGCACCATCTCTTCAAAGACACTCATGTCTGTTCGTGTAATGAGTGATAATTATGTGAGAAAGGATTTATGGGAGTGAAATCAGCAGGATCATGAAAATACAACAAGCATTCTGTCTCTCATTCTTCTCTAGAAACAGTTTTATCTTCACTGAGAAAAGACGAGTTTAAACTTTTTATTTCCACGTAGTTTGGTTTTAATTTGTTTAACTCGATGCATTGTTTGTTGTTTTTACATGTCTAACAGCCTTTGACCCTTTCAGATCCAGACACTGAAAACATGACTTCACTCTAAATTATGAGGTTTCAATCATTGACTAAAATCAGTTGACTTTTTAACTAGTTGTCGCAGAGCTTGCAGATTTTTCAGCCAATGCATGATATTTTTTACCACAGCAAGTGCACTGTCAACACTCCCAGGTCAGTGGGGCATCACTGCCAAACTCCACCTTTACACAGCAAATCACAGGTCTTTTATTCACACATCAGGTCAGTCGGTGTTAATGCTGCAGCTCCTGCCTCACTGAGCACTCATGGCTGATGAGCAGATGGAGATGGCAGAAGTTGGGTCAACTCTTGTGACTTCGGAGTCCAGGCTGCCTCCTGCCAAACCTCCCAACATGTTTGAGAGGGTATTCCAGCCCTGTCTGGCAGAGCTGGTGGGAACGACCTTCTTCGTGTTCATTGGGTGTGTTTCTGTCATAGAGAATGTGGAGTCTGCAGGGAGGCTTCAGCCAGCTCTGGTGCACGGCCTGGCTGTGGCTGTCATGGTGGCCTGCATGGCTGAGATAAGGTAGGGATCATCTTCAGCCAGTAGCATCACAACATGGAGCATAGTGATGGCAGCATCATGATTGAAGCATGGTGGTGGCAGCATCATGATGTCTAGCGTGGTGGTGGCAGCATCATGACGTTTAGCGTGGTGGTGGCAGCATCATGATGAAACGCATGGTGGTGGCAGCATCATGACGAAGGACGGTGGTGGCAGCATCATGATGAAACGCATGGTGGTGGCAGCATCATGATGAAGCACGGTGGTGGCAGCATCATGACGTCTAGCGTGGTGGTGGCAGCATCATGATGAGAAGCATGGTGGTGGCAGCATCATGATGTCTAGCGTGGTGGTGGCAGCATCATGACGTTTAGCGTGGTGGTGGCAGCATCATGATGAAACGCATGGTGGTGGCAGCATCATGACGAAGGACGGTGGTGGCAGCATCATGATGAAACGCATGGTGGTGGCAGCATCATGACGAAGGACGGTGGTGGCAGCATCATGATGAAACGCATGGTGGTGGCAGCATCATGATGAAGCACGGTGGTGGCAGCATCATGACGTCTAGCGTGGTGGTGGCAGCATCATGATGAGAAGCATGGTGGTGGCAGCATCATGACGTCTAGCGTGGTGGTGACAGCATCATGATGTGGGGATGCTTCTGAGCAGCAGGCCGGGATAGGTAGGGGTCATCTTCAACCTTTAAAGAATGTATATTGAAGATGCTCTTCTTAGTTTATAGAATTTCAAAGTCTATAATGACTTTGAGTGCATCTGAGCAGGTGATTATTTTCACAAATTTTTTCATCAGTTTTTCTGGAGATTCAGTATTCTTTTGCTGCTGCTGCTGCTGCTGCTGCTGCTGCTGCTCACAACATAACATAGCATCATTCCACCTGACTTAAACTAGATCTTCTTGCTGGCTACAGAGAAAGTCCACAATGTATGAACTTCGCCTCGCCACAAGTGCTACATTTACAGACAATATTTTCAGAATCTCTTTTCCGGCCTCCCCAGCGGTTCCCATTTCAACCCCCCGTTCACGCTGGCCGTCTATCTGTGTGGAGGCCTGGAGAGGAACTTGGTGCTCCCATATCTTGCATGCCAGCTGGGTGGAGGGGTGCTTGGAGCTGCAATGGCAAAGGTGCCACTTTTTAAAAAAGTTTTAATGTCCACCTTCGTCTCATTTCTATTCATTTAACTGAATGACATCCAACAGTTGATGACCTCCAGAGAGAAGTACAACAAAGCACACGGGGCTGCGTTTGCTCTGCTGCAGTCAGGCAGTCCCATAGGAGGAGCTGTGTTTGGCGAGATCTCCATGACCTGCCTGGTCACCACGGTGGTGCTGCTGGGGGCCGTGAACACCAAGACCAGGAGCCCGCTGGTGCCCTTTATGGTGGGCTGCACCGTTATCATCAACATCCTGGCTGGGTGAGTGGAACACCCCAAAGAATCCAGAGAGGAAGGAGGGATCTAACTTCAATACAATAACTGTATTTTGTAGAGAAATTAAATTTACTGGAGATGCATTCATGGTATTTTGCAATCTGAAGTAATTTACTCGACGTACAATAATTCCTGATCACATAAATTCAGTATAAATAATGTGACGCTGGTGTTTTTATCAGAGGGGATGTATCTGGCTGCTGTCTGAACCCAGCCAGAGCTTTTGGTCCAGCAGTAATGAGTAACTACTGGAGTTACCACTGGGTCTACTGGTTAGGACCCATCGCAGGAGGTTTAATAGCAGCTGCACTGGTTCGGTAAGTAACAATCCACCAATGATCCTAAGTTTACCATATTTTGATTGATTGCACATAAATGTAAGCTTCATTATTGACTGAACTGTGTTGCTGTTGTTCTGTTTCTTGCAGATTAATACTCGGTGACAGGAACACTCGACTCATTCTGAAATGAGAACTTAGATTAGGTAGAAATTCCTCTTCAGGCACAATACAGCCTCTGTCCTGAGATGTTTGTGTTTTATACGTTCTCTCCTCTACAATAACAGCAGATATTTTTCACATAATTCATGATGCCTAGGTTTGTTTTTGGCCATGTTAGGTGTGTCTGATTATGAAACAAAGCTTGTAAGATTGGAAACAGACCAGCATAATGCTTACAGGTTGATTTAATATCAGCTGGTGGGAGATGATCAGTAAACTGAGACAGCTTGTGTCTCCTTCCAAATGATTCAATAACACAGAAGTAAGACGAGTTGTTCAGATTAGACACTGATTTGTGTTTTGCTGTATTTGCACATAGATTGTAGATAAAGTCCTGATTCAGCTTCGTTTCATGATTCACTTTCTTTTTCTGAACTTCTTCATAATATAATATACGAAAATTTGCTCGTTGCTACTTCATAGAAATAAATTGTGCTGGTGTCGTTGTGATCCACTGTGTTTTATTTGACTTTATAAAATCCAACCAGGTGCAGGAATAATGACAGCTGGGCTTTGAGAAGACGTCTCAGACTCACTACCTTTTGAATTGAGAAGAATATTTATTCAGAAAAAAGCTTTAGTCAAAATTCAATTACTTCCCATTTTCTACCACAAATGCTGCCCAGTTTTTAAAAAAGACCAAATGGCACATCTTTTCACAGCTAGAGGACATCTCTGCTTCAGCTTTGTGTCCCGGCTCTCTATAGCAGCAGCACTGAATGCCTGTTCGGCACTGGAGGGTCTCACGCTGTTTCCATATTGTACCCCTGGGCCTCCCCACAGCAGTGGCCCACATGGGAAAGCAGGCCAGGCGGTGGGATAAACCAATTACCCCCCAGCCTGGCCGGACTCCTGCCGGTGCCCCATGCAGCAGCTCCGGGCTGAGCCCTCCTGGACTCGATCCCCATGAGAGCCTGCTGGAATTCCCAGAGATGAGGATTGTGTGGCCTCAAAAGGCCGCAGAGAGACGATATTTTGGTTGGAAATTTGACATGGTGGCCTCAGGGGACAATACTGAGGGAGGAGTCTTCAAACTGGGCTTCTGCAGGAGGAGAAACATTTGTGGAAGGCTGGCTTTCTTCAGCCATGTTCACATTCACAGATGCTGCTAGAAACATGCTTTGATTCGCGTTGAAATGTGTCAGAAGTGTTGTTTATCCACTACATTGCTCATGCAGTGGATTTAACTTTTCCACATTACAGGGTCATTCTTGGGGACTGAGAACATGTAAATGTATATAACACACAAACAGGAGTGATAAAGACAAACTATAATGTGAAATAAACCAGAAATGTACGAGAAGACAACGTGTGGAGTAGAAGCAACAGACGTGTCTCCTCCCTGCTCTGCTGCTGGGATTCATGAGCCCTGATGGTTTCTAGATGACAGCAGCCGTGACAATAGTCATTATGTCTGCCAGAGGCCTTGTCACCGCAGGGCCTTTGTGTGGGCCCCATTCACCGCGCAGTCATTTACACTTTCATTGGCAGCTATTTAGTCCTCATAAAAAGTTCAACACACCAATTTGTGAGCCCTGCTCAGCCAAGGAGAAGTGTGCAATGGGCTCAGAAAGCAGTTGCTTTAAAAGTCAATTAATTGTCCCCCTCTATGGGAGGGGCTGAGGGGGAGGATCCCCGGCTTTGGGGGCCTCACATCTGTCCATTCGTCTTCTCGGCCGGGATTCAGGGGCCACACAGCCCAAAAGAAAAGCCCGATTCAGTCTGTTCAGAGCCTTGGCCGGCTCAGGAGATTCTGTATTTCATTTTATGGAAGGGCTTTGGTATTATCATATGAATCAGATTATGAGGGAGTAGATGGATGAAGAAGGAAAATCAGCTTGTAGGACACTTCAGCACTAAATCCCTTTCTCCTGGAAAACCAGAGCCGGTGCTGCATATGATGAGGAAAAGGGGGCGTGAGTTCATTTAGGCCGTGACAAAGCCACCCATCAAAAAGAGAACAGAGTCTTAAGGGGCCGCGTCCAGCTCAAGAACTTCATGAAAGTTCTATTTTCATTCATTAATTAAGCGCTCTAAACATTTTAATGAGACACATTCATGAGCCGACCACAATATGTGTGAATTTTATTTAAAGAATCTGTAACAGTGTTTAAAATAATCCTTTTCACGTTATGAGCTGAGTTCCTAAAGAAAGCAGTTTTTTCTAAACAACAGATTGTAAACCACGCGTCAGATGTTCATGTTCATTAAAACAGGACTAAAGGTTTGCTTTTCATACGTTATCTTTTTGCTGGCTGCCTGTGAGAGTTTTGATATTAAAATATTGAATGCAGCTGATGAAACTATTTGATGTATTTATTTTTTGTCCAACTAAAGCCATGCCAAGCTTTCTGTCTAAGAAAGAAAGAAAGAAAAGGAGAAAAGCGCGTGCTGCAAACATTTTACAGCTGCAAGAAAAATAAAACATCTACATCTTTACAGTGGATTTAGATGACTTATTTCAAATTAGAAGCACATTTGGAAGCCAAAACTAACATTTAATTCACATGTCATGTGTAGTTCGCAACACATTCAAGCACAAATGAGGAGGATTTTAAATTTCACGAGATAAAGCAGCTCAGAAACAACCTTCACAGCCACACATGCACAAGTCTATTCACGAAGACAAACTGGCGAGAATAAATGGCAGCGCTTCGGTCGTCCCTCCCTCCTCAGTTCGTAGGGCAATTGTCACACAGAGCCAGCAAAGTGAACAACGGTTGACGCAGCGAGAGACACAAAAAGAGAGCAGCAACCCGACCCCTCCTCAGTCTCCCCGGATGGAGGGCAGCGACGGAGGCAGACAAAGGCCGGGCCTCTCTGAGCCTCGGTGCAGGAGGCCCTGCTGCTCGCCCTGTTCTGCTGCTCCAAATGTGCTTTTCATTTCAGTGCTTCTGCTGCCGCTGGATGCCTCCCCTGGCTGGCACAGGGACTCAGACAGCACTCCTCCTCAGTCTGAAGGGAAGTCACAGGAATTCCGGCGTGCCGTCCGGGCGTCATGGTAGACGGACAGGAAGTCTTTGTATCGCGGGGCACACCCTAACCAAGCTTCCCCGAAGTGTTCCGACCCCGTGAAGAGGAACTCTCCGTCCCCGGGCTTCACGTGGCACTGCAGCAGCGTGTGGATGTGTCCACGCCAGGACGGAGAAGCCTGTTGCTGCTCAAACACGCCGCTGCGCTGCCAGTAAACCCTCCCTGCTGACACCTCCACCAGCGACGTCTGGCGCCGAGCGTCATGAGAAACGTTCCTGATGTGGCCTCGAACCACTGAAAGGACAACAAGCAACAAACATTAAAGAAATCAAGGAAAAATCTGTGAAAAATCCTGTTTGCATTTAGCTATTTACACCTCTTGCTGTAAAGTTAAACGCACTGAAAAAGGACGACTGTTGGATAAACTTTATCCAGATCAAGTCCACAACTAATATCAAGTTAGATGCACGTTGAGGGAACTTCATTTTAAGGAAAGTCAACCTGAGGCTTCTAATTTGTTCAATATAATTATTTCTTTAACCAAATGCAAAATGTCAAACACCATTTTGTCATGAGACTTGTTATTCTCTCCTTGTCTTTCTTCTGTAGCTCCACTCAGACAACATGGCAGCTGAGGTGCAGGAGAAACAGAAATGTGATGCACAAAGCACAGTTTTTGCACTTCTGATGAAAGGAACAAAATGTAGTTTCAAGCTGACAGAATCCACAGAAGTGACCTGCCTTCACCAGAGCAGAGAGACAAGTGAGAACAGCGCTTTACTTCAACTACGTCATGTCTGAATTCCTCTGCATCGAGGTGCTGCTCCCTCAGACCGTCTTTACCCTTTCTCTCCTCAGTTATTTGCCACATGGAGGTAGGATTTAGATCTAAGTAAAACTAGCAATGATGTAATGTACTAAAACTCCGTTGTGAGAAAAATCAGTTTGTTTCTGGTTCGTTAGGTTCAATTGAGTCTCACTGAAAGCTGAGCAGAAGTCAGACAGAACCTGAGTATGGAGTTGTGTCAGCGTGTTCTACAGCACAGCACCAGATCTCGGGTCTACAGAGCGCGAGCACTCACCAAAGTCGCTGTTGCAGACGGCCATGAGGAGCTCTGTGTCGTTGCAGGGTCGGCAGGAAGCTGTGAGAGAGGGAGACAGTCAGTACAGAAGATGAGGAGGATGTTTGTTGCCATGGAGACTGTTACAGATGAAACTCTCATCTGCTGTGTTCTGCTCACTGAACCCACTTCTCTCTGTCACTCATGTGCTCTCTACAGATCTGGAGCAGTGACTGATAGATGGGGGTCACTTCACCGACCTAAAGTCTGACCCTCACACCGCCTCCCGTCACAGACCGGAGCTGCCGCGGGTTAGACGGAGGAATGCTGCTCCTTTCCTGGAGATCAAAAGCCTGCACTGGTCTTGACCCAGTGTTTGACTCCTATTGTGTCCACCTAATTGAATGACCTCGCGCCAACACAGGAGGCTGCAGGAGTCAAACACGCTGCAGTACGGAGCAAAATGAGCCAGCAGCTGTCTATTATGGACGCAGGATGACATCAGCGCAGTGGCATCGACCGCACACATGGATAAATGCTAATAAACAGACACGCACAATGATGAGGCATTTGCGGAATCTGCAAAGTATTTGCAGTCTCAATTGAGGCCCGCTGGCCCGGTGCCCTCCAGCCAGCCTGCGGTCGGCTCCGTCCTTCTGCTTTGTCCCCTGATGGAAACCAGACAAGCAGACAAAACACAAGACTGACCAGCAGCTGCCGGCTCCAGTCGGAGGGACGAGGTCTGTAATTAAATAACCACTTTTTTCCCCCTTCAAACCAGGAAATATGAACTACAAGCCTCATCTGTGAATCAGCTGTTTGAACTGCTGCAGAAATGGGTTTAAAACTAAATGAGCATTTTTGGTGCCACTCTGATGAAACACTCAGAGTTCATCTAAATATCCTTATTAATGGTTTTGTCCTCAAGCTTATAGATCAGTTCATTGATTAGTTCCAGGGAGTTTTCTGAACCTGGAAACCGACAGCTGGTTTTATAACTAAGTGCATCCCCCTGTGTTGAAGGAGAGCTTTGAGGTGCTTACACTTTATTTAAGCATTTTCATTTGATGCTACTTTGTGCTTCTACTCTTACCACATTTCAAACGTCAGAATTGTGCCTTTCAGGCCAACATTTTAATCTGAAAACGCGACGTTTCAGTTCACATGAAAGCCCATTTCTCACACCGTTTCTCTTGTGAGCTTTAATGTGAACCCAGTTGTGTTGTCTTCACATTTCAGATCCATCCACCAGACAGACATTTCCTCTCCAACCTTCTGATCAAATTATTCAATTGGTCACAAAAAGAGTCAAAAAGACAAAGAAAGAGGGAGCTACCTAACAAGGAACCTCAGTATGGATGGACTGGTTGTGGATGTGGTGAGCTGAGCTGACAGCAGTCCAACAGTCTGCTTCACTGCTTGTAATGATTTTAGTCTCAGTCTTCTTACTGGACAGCTTTTCACTTTGGGCCTTTCTCAGCACTTCTGTACTTTTACATTGTTTTACAGACAATTTGAACGCAGGACCATTTAATACAGTGTTTTTATGTCATGTCTCACATTTCTGCTTAACAGTTAAATTAACATTAAGCCAGTTCACAGCAAACTGTTCCTAAACAGCGTTTGATCCGAGTGGCTCCGACATGGTTGTTCTAACAGGCTTCGGGCCTGACATGAGCCGGACTCACCCCTCAGCCCTCCGTGGCTCAGCTCGCTCCTGTTGGCCAGCAGCTCGTATCTGAAGCCCATCGTGCGTCTGCTCCAGGCCCCGTCGCTCTGCGGGCCGGCCTGCAGGTAGAGCGCGGGCCTGTGTGGTCCGTCTGCGCGGAAACAGAACACCTGGCGGTCGGGCCGCCCGCCGTCTGGCACCAACAGCTCCAGCTGTCCGGCCCGTTCCACGAACACGCTGGCTCCGCCGAAGGAGGGAGACGGTTTGATGCAGACGGTGGTGCGCCGGGACGAGGACAGATTGGGCTCCAGGACCACCCGGAGAGCCTGACCCGGGTAGAGCCACCTCACCGAGCCCTCTGTGCAGCGGAGCCGCACCTGCAGAACGATCCGCGAGTCCACGGCAGCTGCAAACCCGCTGGAGGAGGCGGGAAACACCGACGGATGGAGTCCGATCAGGTTTTGTATCGCAGGGACACCATCGTTACGAAGGCTTTATTAGTGGTTAATTAACTATTTATTAATACTTTATTGATCAGCCATAAACTTAGAACAAATTGTAGATGCCAAATTCACCAAAACCCAACTAGGTGGTGTTTGTCCTTTACATCTGACATAAATGTTAGAATTAAATGCTGGTAGATTTCCTACGTTTAAAATAAAACATCAGGTCTGCAGTTTTAAATGTTCATTAGTCGGTAACAAATTGATTAAACACGTTTAATCCTGTCCCCTCAAATTCTGCTCTTTAAAAAAAAAACTGATCCACAAACATTCATGGAAAATGTGTTGAACATTTATTTCGCCTTTAATAAATAAATAAATAAATACTACAAACTTAAATCCTTCATAAAAGTAGACAATGCTGCAGTATCTTCAGAAAGTTGTTTCATATTAAAATTCGAAAAGCTTCTCACCTTCCGGTCCAGTTGCACAGATCAGCTGCACAGTGGCGCAGCCGAAGAGCCAGAAAACACGTGAAAATGATCGCATTTGGCCACATTTCACCCACGCAGAGATAAAAATCCACGGAGAAGCTGACGGCGGTGCATGGCTGCAGACTGTGTGCTCAGAGCGGGTGTGTCCGGAGCTGTGGCCAGGCTGCTGGAACAGAGAGAAGTGAGGCGCTGCTCAGACCCTCTCTCTCTCTAATGAGGACTGATCCAGTTGTTGGGAGCTGCTGGCCTCTGCAGCTCTTTGTCTTTGCTCTAAAGACACAATCGGTTTGAAAGCCTTCAGCCATCTGTTAACGTCAGAGCGCGTTAATTCATTCAGTCCAGGGTGTGTTATTCTACATTTACTCTGTTTATTAGGCCACACTTGACATTTCACAGCCGACAGATAAATTCACCTGAACAGATTGTTTTTAAAATAATTATCAAACTGAGTTAAAGTGATTGTAAAAGAACAAAACGTTCAATGTCACATCACGGAGGCTTTAAGAGGAACCTCATCTTTATATTCAAATCATTTCAGAAGAACTAAAAAAAATAAAAACAAAAAACAAATAAATTTTAAAAAGCCTAAATATCTTCCTGTGCTTGAGCTTCATCTAGCGGCGGGATGATGCAGCGCACAGACTCCACACATCTGGAAGGCGAAATGCAGCCTGCTGCGGGCTCTCACGGCCCAAACCACAGGAGCAGCTGTAGCTCAGAGACCTCGAACGTCGCAGCTTCCGTCGATGGTTCAACCTTCCAGGATGAGCAGCTTCGCTTCATTTTAACCTGCAGGGTCTTTGGGCAAAAAAATACTAATATGCGGCAGCCTGTCGAGGTCTTGCTGGTGGCGACATCTTGTGGAGGTGAAGTCAGCCCGCTGTGCAGAGCTGCTGCCTGCTTCTGTTCAGGTTGTGGAGGCCGTGAAGGAGGCAGATCAGAGCTTCTGTTGGCTTCGTCTTTGCGTAAATTACGCTTTCATGAGCACATGTTGTCTGAGCTGCTGAACATCAAAATATTGGAAATACTGACATTTTTAATCACAGTTGCCAACTCAAGTTTGAAATTACACTCAGAATGGATTCAGTACCAGTACTTTAACACGGTTCATGATGCACTAATCGAGCAGTTTTTCTCTTTTAATTACATTTCTAGTGAAACTGGGCTTCGCCCTCTTTTCCCATTTGAATCTCAACCTGCACGGCTTCAATATTAGAATGACCTGAGTCGTCTCACACTCTGTTTAAACGACCTTTGGAAAGCAAAAAACCAGCCGGAGTCCTTTTACAGGATGCTCAGATTGGGTCATGTGCCTCAGAGACACAAAGCGAAGTCAAATGAAAGGAGGCTTTGTGTCTGGAAGAAGCGGCCTCTTATTGGCGCAGTGGAGCCTGCATGCTGCATATACAGTAGGCCCAGTGGGCCAAGGTGATCATTAATGCTAAAACATCTACATTATCTTAAAACAAAATGTTTCTTGGAAATCACAGACGCGTTAAAAACTAAACAGGAGATTCGATTATTTGCGCACATTTTGCGCTTTAATCCAACAGGACGCGGGGTCACAGTCAGCGGTTCCTCCTGCAGACTCTGTGCAGAACACAGCAGTCAAATGACGAACCAGTTGTTTTAAGTTATCATATTAATGTCATTTACTGTGCTTTTGGTTAAATTCTTAAATCTGTTGACTCCTTCCGGTGCAGCTCTGAGGCCGGACGCGACCTTTGGAGTCGTTTCAAACATCAGCCGTGAGGATAAAAGCGGTGATAATTAAACCAGTGAGCTTGCAGGTTTAAATTCGTGATTCAGTTCACTGGAGCTGCACAGTTTCAGCTCTTCTGAAGGTTTAGTCCAGCGACTTAAACTGCTGCTTTCAAAAGTTGTAAATTCCAATAAATACGCGCAACTGAATTCCGGGATTTCTTTCAGGCCTCCGTCGGTTAAACTGCACCGGCGGAGAAACGTTTCACTTTTTGTCATGCAGAGAAGCTCACTGCAGGTGGACAAGAAGGCTCCACGAACAAAATACAACAGATATGATAGATTTTAAATAAAAGCAGAAACACATTTATTCTCTTTGCACGACGCCCTGTTTTCGTTGGAATAATTCATGCATAAAACTCCCAGAAAGAATCACTTTTTAATGTGACTTGTGCACACAAATCCTGTCTCCATTCAAGGCCCACAGTTACTGCAGGTCCACGATAAAATGTTTAATCAGAAGAATTTTCAAAACACTGCACAAACACAAGCAACACGATGTTCTGACAGCTGCTCCCAACACGTTGAAGCGGTAGATCTCCTCCTGCAGTCAAATATGATTATCTAAGACATTTTAAAAAATATAATTTCTTGCTTTCTGACACATTCACAATATTGAATTTAAGTGAACAAAACCGTGTATTTATTTTAACCTCCCACTCGATGCTTGGTGGTGTTTTGGTGAACATGAGGAGGCGCAGAAACATTCCATCACTGCGCCACAATGAAACCAAACCACACGTCAGAGTGCAGACAGGCAACTTGTCAAAATATATTCTGAATTTTCAAATAGTGTTCGGATCATTTCACGAAGCCTGTGATCACATGGGACTGTTCACACTGGAAGAGTTAAAAAAAAAAGAAAAAGATCCAAAATGAAGAAGACATGAAAAAGACTCCATAAACTGACAATGACACTTTTTAATTTCCTCAGCAGCGTATTAAATATTTGTATATACACGTTTGAAAGTTACATAGAAAAAATATAGTATTACAGTAGACTTGTCTGTTAGTAACTTGTTAAACATTTACCTCAGGATATATTAGACTCCTCTGAGCTACAGCAAATATTCATCTTTTGTCTCGGAAAAAGCCTTCGTCCGTGCTGCTCTCCCGGATGGTCACCGTCAGGAAGTTCATGGTCACGTCTGTCACGGTCACAGTGTCCAGGTTGGTGAAACATGGGCTCCAGGACGAGGCGGGACGCGCGGATGAGTCGTGGATGGACTGTGAGGAGGAGATGACTGCAGGCTGCTCCCGGGCCGGACAGCACTCCGTCACCTGGTGGCTCCGGTGGCCTCCGCGGTGTTTGAGCTTACCGGGCTGCGGGATATACATCCTGCTCAGACAGTTAGTCCTGTGCGCCCTCTGGTCACTTTTACGCACATCTGGACTGAACGCACAGCTGTAAGACAAGCCCGCGCCCCCCGTGCTCCTCTGGCCGCTGCTGGGTTTGGGTGTGATGGTGGTCTCCTCCTGGAACCTCTTGGTGAGCTGGACGAGGCTGTGGTCCGACGTCTCTCCGTGGTGGTGGTGGTGATGGTGGTGGTGGTGGTGCAGACGCTGGGACATCTTGGAGAGGCCGTGTGCCAGCGGCTCCTCCAGCAGCCTGCTCCGTTTGGCCTCCGGCTCTGCTGAGCTGCTCCCATCATCCTTATCATAGTGCAGATGCAGCTTCGGTTTGCGGCCCCTCTTTTTAGGGAAGCGCAGAGGCTCCTGGGCCGTCAGAGGAGCTGGAGGAGTCATTCTGGGCCTCCTCTCTGGCTCTGGCGGTCCCACGTGGACGCTCTCCCCCCTGTTGATCGCGCTCGGTGGGAAGATTGTGGGAACCACGGTGCGTAAACCCTCGCGGGCCCTCGGTGTGATGACCGGCTCCGGGATGGGGTAGCAGACCTGGATTCCTCTGGGAGCCTCTCTTCTAAATTCATACGTCTTTTCTTTGGCTTTCTCTTTGGCCTGAGGACAGAGCAAATAACGTTTATGAGGAGGAGGCTTCCCAGAGATGAACATTTCAAGTCTCTGGAGGAAATTTCAAGGTTTAAGAGAAGCAGCTGGACATCCGTTCAAGGCCTCGTCCTAAAGTTGGTCCGTTTTTAAGGAATTCGAGGCGATGAAAGGAAAATGAGTCACACACAGAATCGTTTATATTCTGTGTTGCGGATGCTTGAAATGTACAAGCTGTGCCCGACATCACCACATCAAAATCACGCTGGAAAGGAGAGATTTTCGTTTGTCATTCCACTAGTTTTACTTGAATCTGAACCGCAATACAAAAGTTTCATAGTTAATAAAACCGGAGCTGCGAGTGATTCATCTTCGGTTCGATTCAGAAAAGCGACGAACTGAAACGGAAACCAGACAAATGGAAACATGCACCTACCTTCAGGAGGAAGGTCTCGGGTTTGGGTCCCCTCTTCTTCGGCCCAAACATCTCCCGTTCGCGTTCCCTGATGAATAAAAACAATCATTCAAAGGATCATCACAGCACACTGAAAGTTTTTTTTTTTCTTTTTAAGTCAATAATTAAATCGAAAAATCTATTTTGCAACATGTGGGCCAAATGTTACAGCAGCGAGATTTGAGCAATTTACAGCAGATTTAATGAGAAATAAGTTAAAATGAAACGAGTGAAGCAGACCTGCAGATTAAAAAACTCTCTGTGGATGAAAAGAAGGCAGCTCGTCTACCTGATGCTTGGTCTCGCTCCCATTAAGAGAATTTCACAGATTAAAATCCAGACTAAATGACTTATTTAAATGGACATTTTGTGCTGCAGAGCGCGCGGTGCCATTTCGTTCGTGCACACAGAGGCCTACTGCTGCGTTGTCAAACCCTCACCTCTCCTCGAAGGCAGCGAAGAGGCGCGCATCCAGAATGTTTTCCTCCGGCTCCCAGGTGCTGTACCTGCGGCACGACAAGCGACACGAGAACTGCTCACAACCACATCACCTGTCAGGGCGCGCACACGCGCTGGAACACTTTATATCACAGCAATCTTTGTGCGTGGGCTGCAGCTCCACACTACGTAGCGGACAGTGACGCATGGGGAACTCAGCCATTGCTAACGCTAGTGTGGACTTCAAAACATTGCAGCGGGCTGAAGGCGGACATTTTTTACACATGATGGTGCACAGAAAGCAGCGGACAGACCGCAGACAGTAGCGCAGCACACAGCGCACATAAAAATGGTTCAAAAAGCACATCAAGAAGCGGAGGAAGGACAGACTGAGGCGCTGCAGTTGTGCGAGCGGCCAGGATGGAGCGCTGTCCTTCACTGCTCGCTTATTATACTCACTTCTGAGACCAGCCCTTCCATTTTACGAGATATTCCCAACGACCCTGCAAAACAGATCCGTAATAGATTCAGGTTATCAGAGAACTTGCCTGTCGGCCATGCACAGACACATGTTTGCGTAATAGGTGTAGAGACTCAGCCTGTGGCTGAAAAACAGCGAGTACCCGTCTGATTCGCCGTTTTATGATGGACTCGGCTGCGAAGACGCTCTCACCAACAGCCGAGAGCTCCATGATTCACCATGCACCTCGTTTATTTCTGTCTCTTTTATTATTTTTGGCTTCCCCTCGTCCTCTTCGGGTTGTTTAATTCCGCACATCCCATAATACGCAATCTGGAGAGGACGTCATCACGTCTTTTTCTGTTGCCAGGCACCGCAGTCGGTAGGACGGATCGTGGTGGAGCACATTGGCTCAGTTGTTGCTACGTGCTCCGGGTTTCTGAGTGGAGGGGAGGAGTCCCGCTGCTCTGGCTGCTGTACAGGAATGTCTGGCACAGTGGAACAAGCAAAGTCAGAGGCTCCCGGAGCGGGTCCGCTGACCTCCGAGCTCCCTGAGGGGCTTCAAAGAGACCCACTGCAGAAAAATACTTTAATGTTAGTTGCGTAAAAATGAAATTAAAACAATAACAGGAGTGTTCCATTCTCAAAATCAGCCCCATTAAACTGAACATCTGTAAATATTGGCCTACATTTGGAAAATAGTGAGCAAGTAGGCAAACCATTCTAACCAGTACTTCCACTGTTCTAAATACCTGCATAAATAAATGCACCAATATGTCCTATTTGAAAATGCATGAAGTTAAAATGATGCCACGCGTGGCCTGAGTGATCCCGGACACAGTTTGATTGGCCTTTACCTCAGGGACTGATTGTTTTAAATGATTTGTTCACTTTCATCTGCAACAACTACATTTACTTTCCAAGTGCAGCAGTTTGAGATGGACGCTGGTGGAGCTCAGAAAGGCCCGTGAGCTGCCACAAAACGTCTGTTCATGCGCAACTGGACTTGTGCGCATTATGGTTAAATTGTAATTTTGCACGCCTTGTCTGTCCTTGGAGCAGCTCACAGTCTGTCACTGTCTGTGCCAATGATTCAGTCTGAGGCGCACAAGAGCTGCTTTGATATTAGAATCGAGTTTAAGAAATTAAAAATAAAAATAATCTATACTAGAGTTTAAATCCAGAGCACAGAATGTGACAGAAACTCGTTTTATTTCTGCTGATTATTAATGACAGCTTGTGTGGCAGATTTTCAAAGACGAACCTAATGATAAGAATAAGAGGCACATTCTCGCTTTAAACAAGCAGAATGAGCTTCAGTCCGCTGCATCCAAACCGTTTTATTTCCAGAAGCTTAAAGGCTTTGAGAGAGAAAAGTGTTTCTAGTTCTTGATGAACTTTGAATCTTGCGAAGAAAAACTGTGCCAAAATATAATTTCAATAAGAACTGAGCTGCTCTTTGTCTGTTCTGCCAGTAAAATTGAATATACGCTTTAAATTAAATTCAATTTTAAACCAGCTGAATGCTCTCTGACTTTATGCAAAACAATCCGCAAACACACGTTGAGAATATCCGCCTGTAATTAATGTGCAAAAGGTTTTGCGCAAAAGTCTCATTTGGTTTTCGATTTAAATCTTCTGTTTAAATATGATCACAATAGCTTTTTAAAAGAAAGAAAGAAAGAAAGAAAAAGAGCATAAATAAAGTTTAACTTTTGAACGCAGTGATATGATCAAATTTGCATCAATTAATATTATTGCTATT